ATTTTCATCTTAGTCTTCAAATGAAATTAAGTAAACACTATTTTCCCTGTGTAAATTTAAGAATATTCCCCTTTTTAAAGATCAAAATATACAGTGTTCTCGTCAATATAAAAAAAAAATATGTTCAAGTATAACAGAGGATTGATGAACATGTAAACTTGTATATTTTATCTTGTCGCCATAACAGTGCATTAACCATTTCGGTAACAAAGATTCTGCTTTATTTTTTTGGTGTTAACTGAGTACACTCATTTGAGTTATGCACGTACCATTCAGAGATGTTTTATCTATACAAAGTAAAACTTCTCATTTCTAGTTGACAAGTATCGCCTGTTCCTATCATCAAGTGTATCAAAACGCGGGAACTACATCAATGCCATTACACTTCCAGTATGTAAATATTTGTTTTGCTTAGCAATTGAGTAAAATGAGTGTTAAGGACAGATGATACAAACAAATTTTTTCTTTGAAAAAGATTAAATATCATGTCACAAGTTTAGAAAAGGGGATTGTTCTTAGATTTTTTTCTCCGAAGAACTGGAATATGAAAAAGATTTGGTAGATATTAGTAATATTTCAATGAAAACACAAATATTCCCCATTTTCAAAAGGTGAGTTATTTCCCCTGAAAGGAACTCTTTTACTGTGTTTAATACGCATGCGCTATAAATAAAGTCACTTCCGCGGACGTTCTTGATGTAAACATGTTCATGGTGTATAATGCATATGTCATACGGAAAAATGTTATTGTGTTGTTAAAAAAAAGAAATCTTAGCTGATTCGTATTTTTTTAAATTGCCCACACATAGTCTCCTTCTGGATTTGTATTAATCTTTATAGTAGTATAATAAGGCGCTGTGTGAGCCCCCCCCCCCCCCCCCTTACAAAAATAAAGAAAGAAAAAAAAATTACTGATAAAATGCTGATACATATTCGAATAGGCCTATTTTTAAAAAAAAAATAAAAACAAAAGACAATTTTTGGTAGTGGATGTTCTGCAGACGGATCGTCATTATTTACAAAATGTGCAGAACAAATATAAGAATTTCAAGTTTAGCTAAACAGTTTTTACGAATTAATCTAGCCTGCTGCAGCCATATTTTCTTCTCTGCATCTCTAGGAATTTTTTGGACACTGATGACATGTCCATCTACAGTTTTACCTCTGAAATTGCTGCATAAACAGCAGTAGTTCGTCTTCCACGACCGATATCAAGAAACTGCGTTTTTTGCTCGATTGTATGTCATAGCATAGAACTTTTACTTACAAGAACAGATTTGGTGACCTATTTCATTTGAATTAACTGTGTTTCCAGAATTTGTTATTTGTAAAATAATTGATTAACTGTATATAGTATTAAAACTTTGAATGGAATTCTAAATGAATAATTTAATCTCATGTGCTCATGTAACGAAGAAAGACTAATTAAAATAGAATTTAACATAGAATGCATCACCTCAACTGGTGTCAATCAAATTCGCATGAAAGTTGATTTGAAAATTCTTATGGTCAGTTCTGAGTTCAAGTGTGTAACACACTCAACTGACATCCAGCGAAATTCATCTCCCGGTTTCACCAAAACGCTTATTGAAGACTTAGATCTACATGTATTTTGTAAATTATCCTTTTTAAGACATAAATAAGATGTATCCCGCAGATTATACATGTAAAATTTTAAGAAAAAATTACAATAACGTAACATAGAATTGCAAATTTCTGATGAAGTTGTTTTCCAGCTAACAGGCACATAGTTGCTGGCACCAACCCCCCCCCCACTCACACACACACACACACAGTTTATACTACGGTAAAGTTATATAAGGGAAATGTAGTATTGTATGCCAAGGAATTGGTACTGAAATAAGTAGCTTTTTCGACTTTGAGCAAGGTATTTCTTTGCTTGTCAACTTTTCCAGGCAAGAAAAAAAACATTTCTTTGGCTCCCCCCCCCCCACTTTTAAAGACGATGCTAAGTGCCTGTCTAATTCGTAAAGCTTTCTAGAAAGGGGGGAGGGGGAGTAGACCTTTTATAAAATCGCTTATTATCTAAAAATAATTTGCAAATCGTTTCCTTCTTTTAAATGCAGTGTGTAAGTTGATCACTATTTTGTTGGATTATCGTAATGTGTAGTCCGCGGAAGTTATGCTAGTGTAGAAGAGTTCCGATTTCGAGGGGAGATAACTCACTTTTGAAAATGGGGAATAGACAAATCACATTCAGTAAAGGTTTACAGGTGAAAATAAATTATAGAATATGTTTTCATGGCACTAAAAGTGTAAAATAAACTTAAGAAAAATATACCGAGAGGTGAATTTTATGAGGAAAAGCTAAAAGGTTAAAATCAGCCTATGTGATATTGCCAGTTTTTTGTAATTTCGATCTTCCTCTTAAAATTCACCTGACTTGGTATATTTTACTAAGATTTATATTACACTTTTAACGCCAGGATAACATATTCTGAAATTTATTTTCACCTGTAAACCTTTACTGAATGTGATTTCTTTATATTCGTTTTTTCATTGAAATATTACTAATATTTCCCAAGTCTTTTTTCATATTCTAGTTCTTAGGAGAAAAAATGTTAAGAACCATCCACATTTCTAAACTTGTGACATGATATAAAATCTTTTTCAAAGAAAACATTTGTTTGTATCATCTGTCCATAACTGTAAGTAATAAAAGTACATTACAACGAAATCAATCCTGTATATATCTGAATGAAAGTACTTCAAATTCATGCAAACTGTCGAAAAAAAATTCTCATCAGTATTTATATTAATTGATATCTACAGTGCTAATAAAAAATCCATACCATATTTGCACTGGATGATACATGTAAGCGGAGTTAATGAGCAGATGAAAAAAAAACTCTTTCATATCAATGTCAAGTGCGATTTACAAAAAATGCTTTTATATTGACTTATTTCCCTTTTTCAGTCCTACATCAAGAACAAGGCATTTATAATAACACCTTATCCCCTGGTAGAGGATGCTGTCGACTTTCTGCGCCTGCTCAGTGACCACGAATCAGATGAAGTCATTTGTATGGATCCTCTAATGAAAGTTGAATCAGTGAGTAAATAATTCTTATATCCTGATTTATTCTTACAAACATTTACCAATAAATATAATGTTCATTTTGAAAATCTCTATGATATGTAGACAAAGATGTGGCTACCAGCTGCCAATAGCAAGAAATCTGTCGCTCCATACACGGTAAATTGTGGACAGGAGCAAGTCACAGATATCAAATGTTCAACAATCAACATTATCCAAGATGGGGTAGGTAATATTTATCGAACCGATTCTATAAAAGTAAGTTGTTAAATTATTATTTTTACCATTTCAGATATTTTTTGTAACGCAATAGATTACGAAGCATCCTTTTAAGTTGTCACTCTCTCTCTCTCTCTCTCTCTCTTTCATTAGGCAAATGACGAGGGATGTTCCGTGTCGATAATAGAACCAACAGGAAGCTTGAAAATAGTAGAAAACTCACAGGCAACAATACAGATGTTACATTTGGTTTCATCTGCACTTCAAAGTAAAACTGAGGGTCCCATTACAGTAGTCAGCAGGTAAAGAAAATAAATCGTAAAACATCGAAAGAAATCGCAAATGAAAATATATTATGGAACAATAAACGAAAAACAACCTTAACACAATTTGGTTTTATTACGTCCAAATATGTGTCTCTTTTTGGAATATATGCATAAATAGTGCAGGTACAATAATATTTTAACTTAATAAATATTCAGTAAAAACAACAGTTATCTACGGATATTGATATTGTTTTAATTATCAATGATTGCGCAGCCCTATTTGGAGTTGCAGTGTTTCTGTTCTGTGCTTAACACACTACAATAGTTGTCTATGGATATTTATAATATTTTTTTAATATCAGTGCCGGAACTGCCCTTTGTGGAGTTTTCTGAGCTGTGTTTAACACACTTTTACTCTTTGACAGTTGTCTATGGATATTGATTTTTTTTTCAAATTATTAATAGTGAGGTGAGGGAGCTGCCCTATGTGGAGTTTTTTTAACCATGTTTATCACACTAAAACAGTTGTCTATGGATATTGATATTTTGTTTAATTATCAGGGACGGAGCAGCCCTTTGTGGAGTTTTCTGTACCGTGTTTAACACACTACAACAGTTGTCTATGGACGTGGAGGTGGACATATTTACTGCCGTCCGTCAGCTACAAATCAGACGACCGGAGCTCTGCTCTACTTTGGTAACTTCTAGCATAACTATATACTGTATACATTTGCTGCAGTGCATAATTAATCTTCTATGTGATTCTTCATTTTGCAATAATATGATTTAGTCATTCTTTTCTTTCTGTTCCTAAAGGAGGAGTATATGATGATCTACAATGTTGTTCTGGACTACATCCGGGCACAAGAGGAAACAGCAGAGGAAAATATTTATAGCAACCAATGACAACATTCTCGAATAAAAATGTAGATGACTTTTTGGGGAAAATACTTGTAGGAAGACAAAATATTGATTTGCGATATAAAAACTATAAAATATCTCTTTATCATATTGCATAACATCTGCGTTCATTTAATGACTAAAGTACATTAAATCAAATGTAGTAATTCATTTTATTGTTTAACTGGCTTTAAATTAAAACATTTTAATTTTCATGTACATATATTTTGTTGCTATTGTTTGTATTACTACTGTAATTCTATGAACTTGTGCATTGTAAAATGAATACTTTACGTTGTTTACTTTTTCAACTGCATTACAAAACACTTAAATATTTTTTTCTTGTTAAATTGGAATATAGATTCCCCATGCTTGAAAACACAGCAGAGAAAGCATGTATTTTGTAATTAAATGTATATCTCTTTGAAAGTCCAGAAACATAAATCATTGAAAGTATATTTTGTGAATATAGCAATTCAAATTTTTGTATTGCTTAATGAAATTTTGAACTTGAAAACTTTTCTTTATCTCCATGTGGAAAGTCAAAATCTGTTATATGAAAGGTACCTTCAGATTTCTCAAATTTGAGAGACATCTTCTCTCAATGATCCTTTCGAAATGTTGTTTGGTGAGAATTCGGATATAATTTTATGGTTACCTGAGTAACCTCATGTGACCTATTGCTATCTGTTTTCGTCAATCGTTGTTCTTCGCGCGCTAAAATTTGAACATTTTGAGCTTCTTCTCTGAAACCGCTTAACTAATTTCAACCAATTTTGGCATATTCATGTAGCATCCAGGGAAGGAGAAGAATAAAAATTGTGAATTTCATGGTCCCTGTCCTCCTGGACCAAAACCACTATAATTAATGCAATCTCTAAAGATCTTCTTCGTTACTCCTGGACATCAAGCAATCAATCTGTTGGTATGCTTGTAATCAGCATTGACTCTTCTATCAAATTTTGAAATTCATGGCCCCAGGATCAGGGATTCCAGTGCTAGGGCAAGGCTAAATCGGTTATATAGTAAAAAAGCATTATTTCTTTGAAAATCTTTTCCTCTGCTCCTGGTTATTAAATAAACTAATCAAGTGCACAGTTATGTTGATTATGGCTGCCCCTTCCAAAATTGTGTATTTCTTGGCCCCAGGGTCAGGGGTTCTAGTGCTAGGGCGGGGCTGTATAGATTATGTAATATAATGAATTTTTTCTTTGAAAATCTTTTCCTCTTCTCCTGGGTACTAAATAAACCAACCAAATACATATAGTTTTGTTGAATAAGACTGTCTCTTCCAAAAAGTAAGATCTAAACACTAATCCAAAGTGCTTTTTGGACTTAGAGTAAAATATACCACATCAAGGAATGCATATTAAGACAATTTAATTGATTTTCAACAGGGTACCTGCCTTATTTTTGAAAGAAAAATGTTTAAAGATAATTGACTATCCGTGGGAGGAATCACTTCCTTAACAAGACAGTATGCCAATATCAGTGTCACTTACAGGCTTCCAATTAAAAGTTCAAAAATATGTTTCCTTTTCAATTTCACAATATTAAATTATTTTTGTTACATTCTGATAACAGATTTCTCTCTCTGTTTTTTTTTATCACTTTCCTTCCGTTTTGATTTCTGTTCTGCTTTCAGTTTTACATTTCCCTCTTCAATTTAAAATAAGAGTGTTTTGTTTCTGTGATAGTATGTGTTAGATCGTGTGTAGTTTAAAAGAGGCTATATTGTAAGGGAAATTTTAAGAATTATAAAGGGAAGTAAAAATAAGATTGAACAATGGACATTGACAAACAACCTCATGTGAATATTTTTTCGAGAGATGATGACATACATTTAATTTCTTTAGCAATAGCAATAGTAAGGTTTGTTTTCCAATTATTATCTTAAGCATTTGTTTTAATCACAAGTTTACTTGTATTAAATGCACTTATTTATCATCCTAGGTATAGAAAAAAAAATGTGCGAATTTAATCCCTGATTACCGCTAGTCATGCAAAGATTGAAACGAAAACGTATAATAACACTTTTTTGGATACTCATTCCACATTAAAGAAAAAAAAATGAAATCTCTTCCATTGGCAGATTGATAAATATATTGCAAGGGCCAAAAGTAAGATAAATTTCTTTCTGCACGATATCGAATTACGCAACTAATTTAGGTTGACTTAATGATGTTTGATGTTATAGACAACCTCAAAATATTGTACCAGTATATTTATATTGCTCTATCACTTGCACTTTTAAAACCGTTTTTCCGTACATGATAGGTAAACGTTAAAACAATTCACAGTGTTTTATGTGTACTGCCTAAAATGTAATCTAGTGATACATGCATGCTCTCTGGCATCTTAGCTACTTACGTATAGAAATTACATAAACTATTTAATTAACAACAATATGAAATCAAACTATTTTCTGAAAAAGGGCTTCCAAAAATACGCTTTTGCGATTAATTTATCGTGGAATCAATATCAATAATAATTCTTCTGCGTTTTTCCTTTTCTTTATTACTCAGGAATTTACATTTCCTACAGGGGTTGAAATTACAGTATAAATGTTATCAACCTATATGCAGTTGTCTCGATATTTTTCAACCATAATTTAAATTTACTCAAATAACCTTAATATGGTTAAAATCTTTTTGAATAAGGAGCAGTCAAGCACTCAGCCTTGGAAAGCATTTGTATAAAGACGTTAAGATGTAAACTTATACCTAAAGTCAAATAACTTCCTGGTTTGTTAAAACTGAAATCTATTTACATTTATTGGTGACCTCTGTTGACGAGATGTATGTATTCTAGGGTAAGATTTACTCGCAATATGAAATAGTCGTGTAGTTTTTTTATGGTGTAAATTTAAGATTAAAAAATTATACAATTTATCGAGATGGTAAGCTTTTTTCATATGCAGTGCTGTAGTCGGGACTTTTAAATTGTCGATGGAAATATTCAAAGCAAGCCACCATACAGACTTAAGCTTTTATCTGCTTTTCACAAGTGTGTAAATAACAATGGGGAAATTAAAAAAAAGAACTTAGGAAGATAGACTCCCTTACATGTATCTATAAAATTTTAACTATGCGGTAAGACTATATATTGACTTACTTATTGTTTAAATATATGTTGATCAACGTATAATTCAATGTTTTTTTATTAAACGAAACAAGCTGGGCTTTAATTATTTGACTTTAACTTTTCTGGACCAGTGAGTCGAGGTCATTTCGTAAAGTTTAACCCAAAAGATTACAGACTTTCTTTTAAACAGCAGATTACTTGACAAAAACAGTTTAATGTTTGATGTTGTGTTGCAAATGTGAATCGAACTCTAGCCTCTCGATCACAAAGTGAATGCTTAAACACTAAGACGGTGTGACTTCTTAGGATTAATTAAATGATAGCTTCTTTGCATAAATAAACAACTGTTTAAAGGAAGAACCTCTAAGGATATACATGTATTATAGTTGTTTATGTCTATGCTGCGGGCTCTTTCCTTATGTTTTCAAATAACAAGACTCAGAAACGTTTTCACATTTATCTTATCAATTGCAATTCATTGTACACCGTATATTCTGGGTCCATACACCACACAAAAGTAAGAGCTATAACGTGGAACGGGACCTCAGAAGATAACACTTTAAAAATACTTAACTTTACAAAACTTGAAAATAGAAAATTGGTCAATCAGAGTCCGTGTAAGTACATCTTGGAAAGCCGGTTTTAAGAAGAATGGAAGCCTAAACTCAGGTGAAAAAATACTGGTAGTGGAGATGTACCAAAAAGGGTGTTCGAATAAGAGGTCCAGAATGGGATAACGGAAAGAAAATACGGAACAAAGTTAGAGCAATAATAACAGTAAATTTAAAATACAAATAGACAATAATGTGACAGTCTAGTCAGACATATTTCAGTGGTGCACCTGCGAGTAACCACTAAGGAAGAAACTGAATTTTAGTTCATTTTCATGTGTTATGTTTATAAATTATTAATTTTATGCATACATTTATCATATTTATTACCTTTGTTATAATTTTTGCAGAATGAAGATAATGTTCCTCTGTGCTTTCTACGTGATCTTGTATGCAACGTGTTCTTATGCATATTGTAAGAAAAGGACATTCAAGTTTATCAATTTTTTGCTTATGACTGATAAAAATTATGCTTGCTTATTTATTATTTTACTAGTAATATGTAAAAGACAAGATACCATTCTGGTATCACAACATGCTTTTTTTGATTAAGAACCGAAATTAAATACATCATTTAAAAAGAAAAAGAAAAAAGTATATGTAACGCATTTGCTTTTCCAAATGCATATATATCAAAATGCTAATATTACTGTAGAAAGCAATATATTCTTAACGTAGATGTCTTTTGATTGCAGGTGGGAATATACGTGTATGTATAAAAATATATTATCTAGACTGTATACTACGAGAGTTGATCCAAAAGTAATGTCACAACTTCGATAAAATCGCTATCCGTCGACGTAAAACAACAAAATTATAAATGATGGAAGCTACATTAATTTCAAATCAGACCTGAAAATTTCAATTCAACATGATTTATACTTTTCAAAATATCGGATTATATACAACGTGCGGTTATGGTAGTCGCCGCAACTAAATAACGTCATATGACGGATACGCGCCGTCATACATTTAAACGCTTCCCTTCGTTTCATTAAAAATATTTGAGATTTGATATCCAGGAATACGTTTACAAATTTCACTTTCTTACCCTTAGTACCCATAGTACACTCAATCTTTTCATAATTAATTCTGTCAAAATTGATTGAACAGTAGTAAAAGTCCAACTTAGAATTTCACATATCGCTCTATCCGTCTGTCTTTTAAACAACGCCACACACCATTGAACATTTCCGTCCGCCTTCCCATCTTTCGGTTTTCTTGTCATCTGCTGAGCATTTAATGACCCATCACCCACCAAAAATCGCTGAAACCATCTAAACAAGTCTCTTATTTACATTCTTTCCTCCGAAAGTCTGGTTAATCAACGTAACTGTCTCTACTGGCAATTTCTCCATTTTGAAGCAAAAATACATTACAGTTTGTTTTGGCTTTTTTGTCCATTTGAACATTTCCTTTTTTCAATGCATCGGAATAAATCAACGATGTTTTTAAAAAAAAAATAGCAGTGATGTCATATAATTTTCAATTTAAAACTAGAAAATGATGTAAATTTTTGTCTTTTAAAGAATTTTGCCTTTAGACGCTTTTAAAAGATGCTTTTTAAGTGTTTGTCTTTTTTATACTGAAAAAAGTACACTTTAATTTGTGACGTTCGGTTTTGAGGCGGCGACACCCCCTATCTAATATGTTTTAAACATCTATAAAATAAATTCAGTTAAACATTATTGAATGAAAAATTAAAGTTTTATCAAATTTATATTTGTGCCTCTTTTGGTATATAATATTTGATAATATGACGCCAAATATAAAAGATGTGGACACTGTGACATTAGTTTTGGATCAACCTTCATATATAATTAAAATGAATTGTTTAATTTGTTTTTATAGATAATTTAGCGTTACAAAAACCTGCATGGCAGGCAAATGACTATACACAAACCAAGCCATGGGGAGCAGACAAGGCTGTAGATGGGAGATATACTGACCGTGGAGCACTAGGTGACCAGTGTACAATATCAGCTGATAAACAACAGACAGCAGAATGGAGAGTGGATCTAGGGAGTGTAGTCAGCATCAGTTATATTAACATCTTCTACAGGACGGACAATAATCCTGGTTTGTATTAATCAATTCAGAAGTTAGATATAGACGCGCATACAGACAAGATTGTTTAAAAAAGTAATAATTAGAAATAAGAAACATCACTGCTCGAAAAAATACAATTTTGAATTGGTATTTTTGTATAAAGGTGGTTTGTACGCTTTTCGCTTTGCTGGATTTTTCGTCTATGTCTCCAACACAACTTCAAAAGAGAACGGAATACTCTGTTTCCATGAATTACAGACTGTTAGCGGTACACCTCTAGAAGATCAGAGGATCAACTGTTCCGTGTATGGACGATATGTTATATACTACAATGAACGTCGCAGACCAGATGTTGTTTATCCTACTTACTACTCTCAGTATGCATTCAACGAACTTTGTGAAGTGGAGGTTTATGGTGAGTTCCAGCAGATACATGTAACTTTCATTGAAGTCCTGTATGATATGTGCGAAATTTCCTCGAGAATGTCTTTTCTGACTTAATAGAAATTATGAGGAATGATAAAATTACAAAAAAGTAAATTAATTACCAATAATAATGATTCGTTACATAGGCTGTCCAATCGTTGGATATTATGGAGAAGATTGTAACAAGACATGTCCAGTAACGTGTCAGGGACAGCAGTGTGACGCCATCACTGGAAACTGTGTGAAAGGTTGTTTATCGGGGTATCAAGGGCAACACTGTAGTTATTGTAAGTAATTACATAAAATGTTGTAAAGTCTTTGTTCCTTTGTATCATATTTCCCTCTTTGTAATCAGTTATTTTTTCATAAATCATACCTTTCCTTAATTTACTTTGATTTATTTTCCACTTTAAAAATATATTACACATTGTCATTTTGTTTACAAGTAAATTTAGCCTTAGGGAGACCTGCCTGGCAGCAACACAATTGGCCAGATCAACCTGTAGCATGGGGAGCAGGGAAAGCAGTGGACGGGAGATATTCTGACCGTGGAGCTAATGGAGGGCAGTGTACAATATCAGGTGCTCAAAAGACAACAGCAGAGTGGAGAGTCGATCTAGGGCAAATCGTCAGCATTAGTCACATCCAAATCTATTATAGGACTGATAATGTTGCAAGTATGAAATCGATTTTTATTAAATGAATTTCAGTTAACTGACTGGCTTCAGCTTACCTTAAATTATTACAGTTTAATTTTATTTTTACTACAATTTTACAATTTATTTATATACACAGACTGTATATGATGCCAACCTCATTGAATCGATAACACAACGTCCGAAATGATGATATAAACAAGACAGTGATATCCGTGTTTCATTACTTATGTGCCAAAGTCTTGCCTCAATTTATAATTCTTACGGAGGTTAAGCTTGCGTTAGCGCATCAAATGAACTCAGTATAGAGCTAGTAGGGCATATTGCCACGTAAATAAAAAGAATTTTACGATAGACAAGTTGGAGACACCACGTTTGTTGTTATTGTGGAAAGTTACCATCAAGGTTTTTGCTATTAAAACAAACGTCTATAAAACAGAGGTTTCGTATTTCGTTGTATCTTTTATTTCGAGTTCATATGAATAGTTCGAGTCAATCATATGGATGGAAGTGCATCGTCAATACGTTATATCTAAATGTCGACTTGAATGTCACAAAGGTTTATAAAATTATGCTTCTTATGAAAAAAAAACAACAAAAAGCCACAAGATTTCCGCATGATTGCTTGAAAGCCAGTTCTCCATAAACTACATATACAATGTCAATCAGGAAACTTGAGCATATTTTCCTTGATTTGCCTCGATTTCATATGCATCAAATTTGAAATCAAAAACGAAAACACCAACAAATGGCATTGTTAAAAACATATTTATTTGTTTAGGCCCTGGTGCGTACTACAACAGATTTGCTGGATTTTATGTTTTCATTTCAAACGATACAAATAAAGACAATGGGCGCCTTTGTTTTCATGAATTGCAACAAGTAAGCGGTACACCAACAGAGAACCAGACAATCAACTGTCCTTATGACGGGCGATATGTTATATACTACAACGAACGGAAGCCGAGTGTTACATATCCAAGTTACTACTCGGCATATGCACATAACGAATTGTGTGAATTAGAGGTGTATGGTGAGTTTAAATAGCATATAAATTTTATTGCATATGCTATCGTTGTATTAAAGGATTTTTTCTCTCAATTTTTTCCAAGCTTTTAAAGAAATTAATATTTACCTTGTACCTGAAAGGTTGCTCTGAATCCAAGCACTATGGCCAGTATTGTGATCAGTTATGTCCAGAAAACTGCCTCCAGCAAAGATGTAGTATTTCTTCAGGAAACTGTTTTGAGTGTAGACCGGGTTATAAAGGACATCGCTGTAGTCAGGGTAGGTAAATTGAAATACGTAAATTATTTATTTGTGCAATATTGGAAGTTAATTAAAGACTGATTCTACATTTCCTTCTAATGTCATTCCCCCCCTAAGTTTCTCTTTTTTATTGTTTAGATTTTTAAGATCTTTTTATGAATTCTGTCTGGTATTATATTTATATAATATTTTTATTATTCATTCGGAATAGAAGATAAGGCAATTTTTTTAATATAAACTTTTTTTTTTATAATTGGAAATCCTTAAACCTGCATCATAACTATTGAAAGGTAGAAGGTTATACTGACATCGTTAATATGTCTGTTACCTTAGGAATGTCTGTTGATACAAAAGACTAATTCACTCTTACTAGAAAGGTACCTGATTTTCCAAAAAATACGATATATACTCCACGTGAATTCCTTGAAATGGTATCGCAGGCCTGGTTTCCTTTACTTTGGATTTGTCTTCTTTCGCCGAAATATGGCTGAAAAATTGCCGACTCGGCGTTAAACAATATACAATCAATCTTCCGAAAAATAAGACCATGGCCATAATCTTTAATACAAAATGAACATTTTATTTAAAAAATAGTTATTACTGTATTTATTGTATCATAGAATAAATTCCAAAGTATATTATGGTTTTGTGGGTCGTTGAATGATGGCATGGACAGAGAGTTTCATTGAACATAACGTTATATATTTACTTTTAAAGAATGTTATGGTAGCATGTACGGACCTGCCTGCAGTCAGAATTGTGGTCGGTGTCTAAATAACACACAATGTCATCACATCAACGGTACCTGTTCTGGAGGTTGCTCCGCGGGATACGAAGGATCTATATGTAAAAAACGTATGAAGTGATAAAAGGGAACAAAACAGTCATCCTATTATGGATGCTGAAGTAGAAAATATATCGGTACATGTGGATTAAACATGTTCATGTTCTTAAATTGACATTTTATATGTAAGCGTTTAGGAATTGTTTGCAGTAATTCTGTTTCTAATACTTTATTAACGTTCTATACGTTAAACAAAAAAGATTCTGGCATAATTGAAAAAAAAACCTAGTAATAAGGGGTACAGTAATTGATAATGATTTGAAGAAAACACTTATTTCTAAGAATGTGACGGTGGAAAGTTTGGCTTGGGATGTAACAAAACCTGTGGATATTGTCTAAATGGTGCTTATTGTAACTACATCGATGGGTCATGTAGCGGAGGATGTTCTCCTGGATATAAGGCACCCCTGTGTATCAACAGTAAGTTTTATTATTCAAAACCAACTTCATTCAGTGGCTACGATTTAAGGGTTACTTCAACTGATACTTAAAGCATTTAATACTTTCAAGAAAAATTAAAGTTCTATTGATATACAATAATTTTTTTGGTAAAATTAAACAAAAAGACATGTATCTTTTTCTTTTAAGAAAAATATGAAAGCTTTAATATCTTGAAAACGCCCCTTTGGGAGATACAAATTCCAAGAAATATATCAAAACTTCATTTTAGAATGTGAATGGGGGATTTATGGAGCATCTTGCGCTGAAACATGTGGTTATTGTCTGGATAATAAACCTTGTCATCATATCAACGGTTTGTGTTCAGACGGTTGCTCTGCGGGATACGAAGGACCCCTTTGTAAAAAACGTAAGAGATATTTCTAATAATTATTTATTAACTATACAGTAAGGACTAAAGCACTTCAGACAAAAGAAAACTTAAAAAAACATGCCAAATGATAAAAATATCTTCAACAAAAACACAAAGAAAACAATCATCTTTTAAGAATGTGACGGTGGAAGGTTTGGCTTGGGATGTAACAAAACCTGTGGACATTGTCATAATGGTGCTTATTGTAACCACATTGACGGATCATGTAGCGGAGGTTGTTCTCCTGGATATAAGGCACCCCTGTGTATCAACAGTAAGTTACAACAAATGAAAAACATTACTGTGTGTCTAAAGCTTAAAGCTTACTTCAACAGTTACTTGACCCATTACATTTTCTGTGCTAAATAAAAGCGAAATGCAATTAATATGCTGTATTATTTTATAGTAAAAATTAATGAGTTTATATTTAAATTCATAGTAACTATAAGCTCTGTGTTGACCAAACTCGCATTGGGTGCATACTATCAGGCTTGCTTCAGATAATGGATCTGAACTACATTTTCCGGATGGTTTAACAGGTTAAAGTTTTTGGGCTAGATTTCATCTCATAGAATGTTGACTAAACTTGCATGGATGATACATCTAAGGATGCATAACAACAAGCTGCCTTAGATGCGGGATCTGACCTACATTTTCATGATGAATGAAAAAGTTAAAGATTTTGGTTCAGGTTTCATTTCCAAGTAATAAGCAAAATTACATAAGTGGAACATATAAAGATATACCAGTCTTGTTTCAAATACTGGATTTGACCTACATTTTTTTGATGGGTGAATAGGTTAAAATTTTTGGTAGAGATTTTATTTTTATGTAACTCTAAACCCTTTGTTGAACAAACTTGCACTCGTAATATGTTAGGATGCATATTACCACGCTTGCTTCAGATAATGGATCAGACCTAAATTTTAAGGATGAGTGAATAGGTAAAAGTTTTTGGTGCAGGTCTCTTTTCTATAAGTCATTCTAGATGAAATTCCGCGCAAGCGCGGGAAATTGAATTAATGTTATCACTACCGACAGAAAATATTTCTGTAGTTTCTACTGACAGGTTACAGTTAATAGAAGGAATCAAAACTTTGTTTAAAATCCTTCATTAAATAGATGTAGGTCTCCACACCCATCCACTTTTAGTAAAAATTTGAAAATAACAATTTGGGTGATTGACCTAAATTGTAAAACCTGTCTCATACATTGCTTTTGTACTTCAGATTCTCTTATTACATTTTTCAAGAAGGATAAAAACATGCAGCAAATCTGCAATTTTACTAATAAATTGGATCTTTTGTTGGGGGGGGGGGGGGTAAAATCACATGTACATGGGGTTTTTATTATAGATTTCTTTATTTATATGTAAAAAATGTGAATTAGTGTTCGTTTGAATGAACCAT